ACAGAGAGTTATCAATAATACACCTAGAGATAAATCGTTATAAAAAGAAATAGAATATGAAAAGACACGAATGGGCACGCACGTACAGAGAGTGAGGTGAAAATATATTTATCTTGAGAAAAAAGTGATATATTTCTATATATATATATATATATATATATATATATGCAGGAAAGACTTGGAGGCAGGTATCTGTTTAGAAAAAATGGTGCTATTATAAACAGTAATCGACAAGAGGAAAGAAATGCCTTATAAGCAAATATAAATCGTTAGCTATTTTCTTTGTATTAATCTAAAATGAAGAATACAATTTTTGATTATTGTGGTAAAAAATACACTGAACCTGAAAACAACATCTTAGGATGAGATTAAATTAAAGATTCTCAAAATGCTTGTTAATAATAATAATAATAATAATAATAATAATAATAATAATAATAATCTTCTTTTTCATCTTCTTCTTCGTGACATACCCCTCCATGACGTGGACGATTAGAACTGTCCAGAAATTTAGATTAGTGAACCTCCAAACAGAACACTATAGAAGTATAAAAATACATATTTATAGTGAAAATACCAGCAATATATTTTTATACAAAAAAGAAATTACCAACAATACATATAATAAAATTACCAACAGTATGCACATTGTATCGACTTCACCCAAATCCGTTTAAAATACTACTAAACAACTAACATGAAAGAACTCTTACATGACATTACTCGATACACAATTCTTAAAGTTTGTAAAGAAATCAAACTGTATTCCAAAATATAACTTCAACAAAACTACAACATAAAACACACGTATCACCGCCTTCTAGTAATTATGTCCAAACAAACATCTATATGCACAAAAGCTGAGTATTATCTACCATGTATAAAATTATTTGCCAGATCTCGCCTGTCTGAATCGCCTTTGAGCCGCGAGGGAAGCGCTTCTGGACAAGTGTGCTGGCTTCTAAGCTACGGAGAGTTGTCCGTCCAAATCAAATTCACGCGAATGGCCTCGTCAAACTCTCTTAGATTCACATCCATCTCTGTTCCCCGCTATGTCATGAGGAGAAAGGAAATAGGGATGACGATCTCGAGGCTCGGATGGGAGCGGATGCCGACGACGATTCAATCGTAAAAGCAAAATAACATATTTGCATTATTTCCAAGCTCCCAACAAAATTAAATTGTGGTATTAAATGACCCATATGGAGAGGATATGCCGTTAAACAGACAAATCAATCAATCAATCAATCAATCAAGCTAATAAATATTGCATTTCTTGTTCCAATGTCCTTGACAAAGCTACATTGTCCATGTCGTATTTCTGGTGTAATTCTGCTTTGCGCTCTTCATCAGAATTTGGATTATTAACTTGATTTTGTGGCTCATTAATTTGATTTTCCGATGGAGCTCGCATTCATTTGCACATGGTCTCTTAGTGTTATAAAGATGGATATTCGGATTTGTCCCCATTGTTGTATATTCCATTTATTATTTCTTTGATTGTGACGATACTGAAATCTATTACCATCTCATCTAGTCCTACTGTTTCGTTTCTGTTCATCTCGTCCAGTGCTGATCTTATTTCAGACCTTAATGTCTGTATATAATATACTAGCAATAGAGCCCGGCGTTGCCCGGGGATATAACAGTAAGAGATAGATCAAGTATCGACCATCATAAAGACTGAAAAATAAAACTGACAAAGATTATTGTTTAAGGTTGACGGACACGCATGTCTTAATTAGTTGTTTTTTTTTTGTTTTTTTTTTTACGAATTGGTCAAACTCAAACAAAAACATTGTTTTCAATCGTTATGAGTCTCCCGATTGAATAGAATAATTTTATGAACAATTGTCTTGTAAATGGAATGAGAGTGTTCATGCGGACTACATACCTTAGTTCTACTAGTTCTATAGCTTTCACGGCTAAGAACCGCCATGCCACGCACATTGTAGGACACCACTTCCATTTCTTTCGTATTCCATTAAAAAATTTAAAAAAAGCATTCTGAATGTAAAAATAAAGAAAAAAGTGTGCAAGCGAATAAGAAACACTACCTGCCAAAAAAAAAAAAGTGAAGTTTTGTTTTATCGGCTGAAAAATATAGGAAATCCGCTCCCATATTTAAAGGAACCCACACATACAAACAACCCGATGTGAGTTGTCCCCCTTCCATTTTCACGATGTCTCTTAATCGTGTTTTCAAATTGATTTTGTGCAAAAACAGTTATATTTTTCCCATTTTTGGCGCTGTTAGAACCACCACAAGGTAATTTTATGTAGTCCTGTGAAGTTTTGTTGAAATCGGTTGAAAAATGTAGGAAATCCGATCCAATATATAAACGTTACACACACACACACACACACACACACAATCTGCGTTTTATTATAAGTAAGAAAGAGGTTGAAAAAATCTGGGGCGAAGACACTCTCTTGTCTTATGCCCGTTTCTATTTTTTCTAGCTACTCAATTCGTTTTCTATCCGCATACATGCTGTTTGCTGCCAGTATAAGTTCTGGGTTTATTTTAAAATCATTTCCAAAGAGGTCTAGTTTCCATAACAGTTCATATAGATCCTTGTGTCAAGTCAATTTCTTTTACGTAATTTATAAATCCTTAAGGCATATAAGTGCTTTTATATTGCTCTCTCCGATATTACTTGCCTTCAGAGTTTGGGGTAATCATATGTTTGAGGAAATTGCATACTACCCACTAATGCTAATGGTCGGTGTTCGAATCTAACTGAACATTAGCATTTTAATGACTGATCCTCAAGACAGAACACAGTATTTGTCGGTGTATAAACTCACTTTTTACTCCAGAGTCTAAAGTCCAACTCTGATTGCATCTTCGACACATAATAATAATAATAGTAATAATGATAAAAGCAATTTATATAACATCAACAAAGATGAGGACAATAGTTAGTGCAAATAATGATAACGCCTCATCCCAGAAATTCAGACAGGTATGTAATTTCCTTTTTGAAGGAAAGCAAAATGCCAAAATTCCGAAAATAAATTCTACGAATGTTTTGCGAATCAGAGAAGACTATCCATTTTACAGGTATATTTTTACAATGATGTACGCCATGTTCAAGGCCCACAGGTACTCGAAGTAGAACGTAAAAGAGTAAGAGTCACAGTCTGTGTGGATATGTGGGGAAGATAACGGTTGACATAGACTTGAACAGGTAATACTAATCGGAGACGCATCCATTTGACAGTCGGTTCCACAAAGCATCAATTCATGGGAAGAATCTGCTCGAGTAGAACTTACATCTCGCCAATGGAATACGAAAGAAATGGAAGTGGTGTCCTACAATGTGCGTGGCATGGCGGTTCTTAGCCGTGAAAGTTATAGAACTGGTAGAACTAAGGTATGTAGTCCGCATGAACACTCTCTCTGGAAATAACAATAGAACACCAAGAGACTTTCGACGTTTCGTCTGTGAGAAAGGGATTGCAGGTTGGAATTCGTCACCCACAAGAACGCAGAGATGCTCTTGCATTCTATCAAAACTGGAAAGTGAAGAATGGACAGCTCCTTCCCATATATAACAGCAGTACTCCATTTTCAGCCTCTTCTGACTCTTGTATATGGAGAGAATAGCAGGAAGAGTAAGATCGTTACAGGGAACCGGTCATTTTCCCTGCATCTTTAGTGATGGATCGTATGTGTTCCACGAGGTCTAGGTAAAGTCCCAATAGGCATTCAAAGCATGAGGGATCCCTGAGCGAAACATAGCGATAGAGCAACGAGAGGCCTGCGGGGTTACGTCTGTCGGAAAGGAATTTCAGGGTGGAAAATAATTCATCACACACAAGGGCGCGGAGATGCTTCTGGACTCTATCGAGGCTGAAAAGTGAAAACTGGGTAGTTTCTACAATATTTATTTTGTGATGTCAACGAACACTCGTCACTTCCGTAATGCTCATTGTAGTTGAGACTTTGTAATTACATATACGCCGTTGAACAATTCTGGTGCCAGAGGCCTTTGAATAGCACTCGCACTAAGAGTTCTTGCACAATAATACCCGTTCGAACAGAAATCCGTATAGTGATCCTAAAAGAGAAATAGTATAGTGAATAGAGTAGAGGATAGCGGTCCGTATAGTATAAAGGATAGACTACAAATAGCGCTCCGTATATTATAGAGGTTAGACTAGAAATACCGATCCGTATAGTAATAGAGGATAGACTAGAAATAGAGATCATTTACACGTCACGCTACTTTCTACATATGCGTTTCCACAATGGTCACGTGATTTACTTAATTCAATAATGGGGTCGCCTGTGTTTGCTCATTGGCGATCTATGTTCAAATTCAAGTGTCGGCAGCGTCACTTTATTCTTATATAAGAATTTAAAACAAAGAGCATCCAGTGTGATAATAGTTTCGGAGATTTTGCTGGTCATAAATCGTAGTGTTATTGGTTCATGAAATATAAAGGCTAAATTATGAGAATTAAAACACGTAAAAGAAAAAAATACCGACGCTTGCTCAATTGGCGAGGAGAAAAGAAGTGATATAGTGATTAATTCATTTCAGAAATGTCATATCAATGACGCAAATGATGGAACCGAGGATTACATTCAATTTAATTATAATATTGGATCCAATGGTGAAATGTTGGACCCCTGTCGAATATTTGAAGCAATGAGGATTTTGTAGGATTTGAACCAAACTAAATAACAGTAAACCTTTTTTCTTATTTATGGAATTTTTCTTTATTTTCAGGTTTGAGCTATTATTTATATTGATTGATTTTCTACGATTTATCAACTTTTTGTAGGTTATTTAAAGCCAGAAAATATTTTTTAGATTTTAAGAATTCTTTTTTTTTATAGATAATAATGATTTAAGGATACAAATCATACTAATTAACCCATAGCTGGAGGAGGAAAAAGAGGTAGATTCATACGTAAGTGAATATAACAGACACAACTGGAATCGGAAGTCAACTATCTGATTAACAATTGCACCCATACTTCCAAGCTTACAGCACTTAATATTTCCAAGTGGTTACCCATCTAGATACTGAACAGGCTCGACGTTGCTTGACTTCAATGATCGTACAGGAACCAGTGTTTCGGGGCTGTGGTTGTAAGCCTATCTATTTTGAGATTTGGAAAAATATATACTAATTTTTAATATAATAATTCTTGCAAATAAGAATGTCTTTTTCAAAACTGACAAGTAAGACGCTTTTTTTTCCAAAACGTTGTCTTAAATATAAGGGTGCGTCTTATACAGCAGCATATTTTATATACCGAAAAATATGGTAACTCGTCATATTATTGGAAGATCACCGAATCATAATGTTTTTTCTTACTCTTCACCATTTAACCTTGCGCCTGACTAAATTAGAGTTAGTAAACATTTAGGTGCTGTCACTCTTGTAAAATAAGTATTTTAAAACGCTTAATAAATTGATGAATACTGACAAAAAAACAAAAAAACTGCCATGGTAATTTTACCAGAGACTACTGTTAGTAAATTATATGAACGCTATTCCAAGTCGATAAATACACGGTATTGTTTATCCTTGAGGAGATAAGGGCAAGATAGAGTATTCGTGTAATTTTAAGTATAAATTAAAAATAAATGAATAAATAAATAAAATAAGTGCGTCCTCTTATACGACTGTCAGCACACAACGCAGCTGCCGTCAATGTTGTCGCCAGTGAAATAAGAAGTAAGGCTCGGGTTTCGAACCTCGTAAACAGCAAGTCAAACTAACCAAATAATTTGTTTGACCGACAGCACATTTGCTCCTCCCTGACACCGTCGGGGGTGTTGTTCTCACACGCCATTGAACGCACTGAAATTCCCCGGACAGGAAAAGAAAAGCGAGAAAACAATGTTATTGTGTTTTTGTCTACGAAGGAAGATTATTGTTGTTCAGGAGGCGTCGTCACAGTGTCCAAATTGAAAAACCCGGGTCACGCCCACCTCACCCGAAAGAAAATTTGTGTCAAGCACCCTACTCAGGCTTAACTTTCAATTATTCTTGCATGATTGTCACATTTAAACGTCAGGACTGCTACTTGACATATTTATTTTTCGCCTCATTTTTTTCTTAAGTATTATGAAGAATAATGCGCTGCTTTTATTTCTTCTATGTGCCGTGTCTCTTCAGGACCTTGGAGATCATGGCTCTCCACAATTTCCTGACCTTTATAGCTTTGTCTTTTTGTTATCTCGCCTAAACCTTGTCCATCCATGCATTTACTCAAATGCACCAAGTTAGTTATTCGTTGTTTTTTCTGTCTCTGTTGTTGATGCAGAACAGACTGAAGGCAAGAGCAACTTTCCAAACCCTCTTTCTTCATTATATGCCCGAGAAATTTCAACTGTCTCTTCATCATGATAAGTATAAGTGTCCTTTTTGCTTCCATTTTTCTCTAAAACTTCGTCGTTGCTCACATGTTCAGTCCATGTTATTCCTGGTATCCTTCTGCAAAATCACATTTTTGTTTTTTCAAGTGTGTTCTTCATCAGCGAGAAGATTTTTTTAAAATCACTTCACGCCAAGAAAGGCGTGAATGCCATTAGGAAGCAGGGGTTTACAGATAGTGAAAGTAAGAGAAAAGACTGAGTGTAGGGAGGACAAAAGATGAACGGGATTCAAGAAGATGGTGATTGACGCTGCATTTAAATTTTTGAAGATTGTAGTTATCAGGGAAGCAAGTAAACGGAAGGGAATTTCACAGGTGGGAAGTGTGAGAAGAGACAATTTTGGATTAGAAATGACAATTGCATTTAGCTATTTCAACGGTAAAAGGATGGTGTCCGGAACCCAATTTAGTAGCTTAAATTCATTTAGTCAGAGCACCAGGAAAAAAAGACTCAGCAGAGAAGTTACCATAACAGTATTTGTCGAAAAGACAGGGAGAAAACACGTTACAACGGTGAGAAAGTGACTGGAGACGAGATGTCAAGTCAGAATCAATTACATCACAGATTCTTCTTATGATTTTGTCATGAACCTTGAGGTGAATAGCAGGAACACCAGACCAAATATAGTAGCAGAATTCAAAGTATGAACGAATGGTAGACTTGTGAATGTGTAAGATGCATTCTGGCACGACACAGTGATGCAACTTTCCTTATTGTCCAGTATTCACTGCCATATAGAAAGACTGTTATTATGTAACATTTCAGTACTATTTTCTTTGTTTCTTACAAAATTTTCCTGTTTCTTGATACGTTGTTTAGCTTTTGGAAGGCAACTTTCGCCTTCCCAATGCGTGTTCAGATATCAGTGTCGCACTACTACAGATGGATTTATTCAAGCTAATGGCATATACATGATATAGATGACATTCTACGCTTTACTTAGCAAGATATTCAGCAACCGATACTTCACTATAGTTAGGCTTAGTTTCGAATTACTTGTACAGGCTTTATTTGGAAACAGGCGCTACACGATGTTCCTCATCCTACTAGATCCATTACTTTTAAGTTTTTGGTAAACAAGAGTTACGTCCCATAATGTATCAACATCCACATTAGTTCTTTAATAAGCAGAAACATATATAAAAAATATCATCACAAGGATAATGATTTTTTTTCGAATTGATAAATAATTAAAAAAGGGTTTAAGGTGGTTGATTTTGCGACATGTCAAACCTTGTTGCGTTAATTTTCTATGGGGTGTCTAGCAAGGATCGAACGTACTACTCTGTAAGAAAGGTCTATTCAAATTATCCTCGCCAACCATAATCCCACGATGTGGTCTACTCATTTAAAAAAAAGAATGTCGATATTCTTAGCAAACCACGTGTAGATTCTTTTTTTTATCATTTGAATTTATTGCTCCAGGGTGTGAGAAATCATGTCTCTTCATAACTTCCTAAACTTTGCATCGCTAAGTAAAGTTTTTCACCTTCCGGTCACTTATACTCGATGTTCTGTTATCCATTTACAGAAGATTGTTAGGTAACCTACTCGATGTTTCTGTGTGCCAGTCTTGCCTTCAGTGTTTCCTGTGAGTGCCAACTTCTCCAAGCCTTCTTTCCAAATTACCCACTTACAAATTTCAAATTCTAAGTATAAGTGTACTTTTTGTTTAGTTTCCATTTCCCCTAAAACTTCCTCGTTGTTCGCATGTTCTGTCCATAGTATTCATAGCATCCTATTTTTAAATCATTTCACCCCAAGCAAGGTGATAATGCCACTAAGACGTAAGGTGTTAGTGGAAGTGAATGAAGTTTAGTGAGGAAAAGGACACTACAAGAACGGGAAAGAGGAACACAGATGATGGTGATTGACGCTGTATTTAAATTTATGGAGATTGTTGATCGTAGTGAAGCAAGAAATTATTTTCCACCCTACAAACCCTTTCTTATAGAAGAAACGTCGCGAGCTTGTTTGCTGTTTTATCGCTATTTCCATGGTATTTGTTCTGAAAAGCTACATTCCTTAGTGTCACCATCTTTGACTGGGATCCGTCATACTACGCACACAATGTGACTCATCTTGATTCTCCTTCGTACTCCAATAGAAGAAGTAATTTCCCTTCGTTCAGATGGACTGCTGCTTCGGGGAACAAACTCCAGGCGGGATGTTTTCTTAGTCACTACAATCTTGACCTTTTCAAGTCTATGCTAATCAGTTTTTCCTATATAGCCCCATTAATTTCACTTTGCTTTTCTTGCGCTCATACAACACCACATAAAACTTTGAATGGCTCTTGAGCCTTGTACTGGGTGAACATTATTATAAAAACAATTTCAATGTTCAGAATATTTGTCTCCCTAAATGTGGCATCATTGTGTTCAGTATCGATGTTAAAACTAGCACTGATATTACGTGTTACGGTGTATACAACTGTATTTCACGCAGTGTGAATCTCGAGACGAACTTGTTAAAAGCAACAAACCATGCGTCAAAAACCGGAAGGAAGTGAAAATAACATAAAGATGTTGCCAATGACGTAGAATCAACTTTGACGATGAAGGATGTCGTTGGTTCTTTGGTAGCTATTAGAATGTATTCAAATAGCCATTACATTTGTTATCGTTCCTGTGTTGTAAATATGATTACGTTTGATATTCAATAATGAACAAGTCTTGATAACGATGCTTTTTTAAAGTTGGTTCATTGTATCATGCTAGACAATTTTTTACATCAGAATCTATCTTACACATCGATAAGTCTACCATTCGTCCATGCTTAGAATATTAATGATATATATATATATATATATATATATATATATATATATATATGGTCCGGTGCGTCTGCTATACATTTAAAGATTCTTGATAAAATTCAAAGAATTAGTAATATAGAGTCTCGGTTTCCCACTGTCGTAATGTTGTTTCCCTGTGCCTTTTCTATAAATACTTACATGGTAATTGTTCGGATGAACTCTTCGTTAAGTTACCCAGACTTTATGAATGTAAGGGCTGTACTAGATTGGCAACAAGATCTCATCAAGTTACAGTTGAATTGGTTAGATGTATCTGTAAGTCCTATGTTAACTGTTTCTTTTCTCGCACTTCTCGCTTGTGGAGCTTTCTTCTGGTTCCAAGCTTTCCAGTTAACTTTAAACTTAAAACATTTGAATGCAATGTCAATCGTTATCTACTATCTTCTTGATTACTCTTCTACTGCTCTGGCTTCTTAGTAATGTTTCTGTTTTATAATTCTTTCACAACCAGTAACCCTTGTGTCTTAGTGGCTTTGCGGCCTTGCTTTGGATAAATCTGACACACACACACACACACACACACACACATATATATATATATATATATATATATATATATATATATATATATTAATAAGGTTAATCATCAGACCTACAAATTCAAAATTCAAGATTTTGAATTTGTAGGTCTGATGATTTGGATCGTATTTACGATTCCAATGGAATAAATTATGACCATGGAATATTAGTGTTTAAACCTTTTTATTACATCCTTACTCTGTCCTAGACATTGAGTTCTACCTGGATTCTTCCTCTTGGAAATTTTTTTTTTCTGAAAATATACATGTATGGGTATTTTATATATATTTTATATATATTTTGCATATGTATGTATATTTTCCACTAATATTATCGATATACATACATATATATATATATAT